ATGCAGTTAATCTCTAATGCAAATGCATTTTTGAAGTGTGTGTTAGTGCGACTGCCTTGCACCTCGGTTGCACTGGCACCACTCCCCAGGGCATGTCTTTCTCCCCTTAACATGCTGGACATTGTGAGGACGGGGGACCTCTGCCAACCTCAGAAATATTCTGGAGATACTAAATTCCCCAGAATGGATGGGATATTCTATTTTTGTGTTTTTGTGTTTGAAATTTATTATTTATTTGCCACAGTTATTATATTTGATTTCCCTTCATAAGGCACAGTGCTTTGAAGAGCTCAAAACTCCTTCATGGCTCTAGTTAAAGAAGACTCACGTAAGGTAACATCGCTACGTTCTCCCTGTGGTGCTTTCCTCATTTCAACACATTTTACGGGATGTCCATGATGTGCACGGAGTTGTCAAGAGTTAAGAGATAACTAATGACGTGATGACGTGTGGCATCAAATCAATCAGGGGTTATTTGCAGGTTTCTCTAGTTCCTTCTTTTTCTTTTTTAATGGGGGCAGATGTAGGATGACAGAGCTGATTGGTGAGAATGATTAATCATACTAGTCATTAAGTAAATTTGCAGCCATATATTTATTCTAAGAATGAAAGAAGAACTCATCACAAGCAAAATTCTCTAAATTGGCCTCTATTCCAGATCAACTCTCAGCCCATTTGATAATATCCCTCTCCAGGAGTACACTTCTCCCTGAACTTGTATTTTAATATCTTACTTTTAACTTTGTAGAGTTTCTGTAAGCATTTTTATATGTAATTACTTATTAGGGAGAAGCAAAAACTAAAATTATGCCTTAATTTTTGTGTTTTGCTCACCTGGGCTTTTAAAATGGCCATTTAATAACCTGGAGAAATACATTTCCAAAGGGCCCTTGACATCAGGCACCGTGTAGGTCCTGCTTGCCTGGCTTCTGGCATCGATGCACTGTTCAGTAAACATTTGTTAAATGAAACTAGAAGCCGAAAAGTAGTGTTGAAGAAAAATGTCATTTTCTTCAAATAGATATGTGTGGAGCATATTGTATTATTATAGTACTATGTTAATATAAAGTATCACAGGCTTACTTTTTATAGACCTTCATTTTATTCACGACAGATAAAAATAATATTAAAGATTTAAGGTAGTTATTGGAATAGGGAACCCAGAAAAGAAGAAGCTCAGACTAAGTGCATGAGTTGGCAGAATTTCTTTGAGCTAACAGATGTACCTAGAGAAATCAAGCCAGGGACTTAGGTGCAGAGTCCATGAGACACACATGTGGACCAACTTTGGATGTAGAACTCAGCAAGTCCACCTGTGCATTCACTGGCCATTTCAGGTGCAGGGGAGCAGGCTACTGAGTCACATTCTGGGAGCACTTCAGTTCTGATTTGGATTTGGGGCATATGTGTTATTGGGATATCATTCTCAGTCTCATGATACAGAATGCCTCTTTCAAGAGCTCATTATCAATAAGATCCATGCTCATGTTCACGCTTGGAGCCAGGAAATAGTTGTTGGTTAGCCTATACTAAGTTTTGGCAAGAACAACAACAAAAAATGGAGATGCTGAGTAGCCAAGTAATCATACACAATTTAACAGTATCTCTAAGCATGAAATGGCACAATCCAGCCAAAACAGTGCCGATACTTCAAAGCTCTGAATTCATATTAGTGAGAGGATAGACTGTCATTAATATTTTCTGAGTTCCTAACTTCTAGATTTTCATCTATTAAGTTACATTAAGATGGGTAATCTGTCCATCGAGATTTAGTTTGTATTATGAGCTTGATTGTTGATGCTGAGATTGTTACAATAGAGAAAGGGTCCGAAAATAAGCCTGTAATAGTTGTTAAAAAGAATAACTAATGTAACAAACATGAATACAGTTTTTGATAGGAAACAACAAAATACTGTTTCAAATTTAGAAAGACAAGAAGATGACTTAAACAACAATTAAAACACTAAAATCATTCATTCAGGGAACTTTCAACGTATAGATTTGCTCCCTAGGGGAAACCAAAATAGCACCTTTTCTGACTAATTTGCCATAGTAGTCTGGTACTGGTTAGAAGTGCCAGGTAATCTATCAACTGTTGCCAATTAAACTTGTTTGGTTCTTACTCGCTTTTAATTTCTCTGTGACCAGAATGATCGCAGAGAGAACTACTCTTCTCATTTCTTAACTAGAACATTCACAACATCTGGTAAAATACGACTGGAACACAGAGTGCAATTAAGCCCTACTAGGCAGATTGACTTTCTGGCCTCAGCCTGAGTCTTAAACTTTGAAAGGAAAGGCACATGAGAACCATTTCAAAAGATATGTTAAGTATATACAGTACAGAAAAAAGAGGGGGAAGGTAATGAGGAGAAAGAGGAGAAAGATTTCTAAGCTTAAAAACCAACATTTTCACTGCATATGCTACAAATAAATTTTAATTCTATTAATGAAAATACCTTTATTCTTTTTTCTGATTATGATACATGTTCTTCATATCAAAGTTCAAATATAGATATGCACAAAATAGAACATGAACATACCACAATATCACCCGTTAACAAAAACATATGGTAACAGCTTGGTGCATTGACCTCTTGTTTAGTTTTGTTTTGGTTTGCTTTTCCATGCCTCTAAAATTGTGTATGCATGCACAGTAGTAGTAGCAGTGCTAGTAGTTATGGTTTTACAGAAAAACGGAATCATACAATGCACAATTCTGAAACTTAATTTTTGACTTAGCCATACAAGACTAGCATCTTTCCACATTAGAAAATATACTTACTATTTTACTATACCAGAATCCTTCTTGTATGCCTCTTAAATCATTTATTTAACCAGTCCTTGACTCATGGACATCTCAGTGGCTCCAATGTTTAGCTATATAATACATTTTTGTGCATACATCTTTTAAACTCCTCTGATTTTTTTCCCATAGGATAAATTTTCAGAATTTATTATTTACATTGTTAGCCTAATAAAGCCATATATTTTGGGGTAAAAAGGGAAGCACTCAATTCATTCAACAAGTAGTTGACATTACTCACATGGTTTTTTGGTGTGTGTCCTTAAACTTTTTATTGATGTTTAACATTCATATAGAAAGCTACACAAGTCATAAGTAAATAATTTATGATTTATGTATTCAGTTTGAACACACCCATGTAAATGGAACCCAGGTCAATAAATATATATACATACATTTACCAATACCCTCCTTCACGCCCCTCATGTGCTTTGCCAACCTGTCGTTCTAGCAATTCCTCATGAGAAAGTTCTTGTCAAGCTTGTTGACTTCCGTTTCCATGAGTCAAAGGCTGAATTAAGGACACGATGTCTTTAAGATTGATAGTGTAATATTGATTGACTGGTGGGATTTTAGACCTTCAAAAAGACTCCTTGCCAACAAAGCTGTCCTGGTTCAACCAAATGAGTTTCCAAGATCCTTCGTTCTGTCCCCTTATCTCTTTACTATCTCTATCAGTTTTGGCCTTAAATCTATCCATTGGATCCTAGTGACACATATTTTGATTCTTATGATGAATTAACCTCTGGATAACAAAAGAAACTAAATACTTGTTTTACTTCTGATGTCCTCTTATTGGCTACCGAGCTCAGCTCTGAGCATAGCGTGGATCTGGAATTGGAAAAGGAGTCCTGGGCTTCCAATTTGTGGCTTCCGTCACCAGCTGTCTCCTTCCTCCATCCTTTATTGGAAGGAGTATAAACAATGACCTTCAAATTTCACTTAACTTTTGGAGACCTCA